GGCACAGGCTGGGGGGTGGGGGTGGGGCACTGCCGAGACCTGCCCAAGCTTGGGGACTACACCTCCCCTGCCAAGGCTGGCACTAAATTGGGCGCACTGGGAAGGGGAGGTGGGATGGAGAACAGCTCTCCTGCCTACCCTGAGCCAGGCCCTCTACTGGGGAACTGTCCCAACCATGCAGCCCCCAGCAGGGGGCAGAAGCAGGGGGTCTCCAGCCAGGGCAGCAGGCCTAGGTGAGAGCGGCTGGAAGCCTGGGTGGCCCTGTGACCCCCAACTGCAAATCCCTAAGGAGGGCAGGGAAGCCAAGGGTCACAAGAGGGTCCCCAGGAGGCCTGGCCCTTCAGAACTGCTGGGGGGTGGGGGGGGCTTAAGAAGGGAAAGCAAGGTGGGACCCACCTAGAGGTGGGGGTAGGAGGGCAGCCAGACACACAGCAGCCAGGGGGTGGGGTGGGCAGCACAGGACACACACACGGGGCTCACCACCAACATCCTCTTTAATAAAACACAGGAGGTGGTGGGACAGAAAGGGGGATAGGGTGAGATATAACCATTTACAACCACAAAAAACCTCTGTACATGGCTGGGCTGGGTGGCCCTACTTGTAGAGGATGTCGTAGTGGCCCGGCCGGTAGAGAAGGTAGACTTTGGGCTCCGAGCCCTCGGGGAAAACGTGGGGGTTGGTGGTGCCGCCCTCGCCACGGTCCATGTACTCCACCTGGATGGAGACGCTGAGCGCCTGGGCCAGCGCGATGATGTGAATGTGGTCGCTCTCCTTACACATGGGCTCCACCTCCTGCGGCGACAGGCAGGGGCCAGGCTCAGGGACCCAGCCCGGCCCGGGCACCCACCCCCACACCAGAGAAAGGGAGGGGGGTCCCAAGGGAGAGAGGCAAGGCAGGAAGGGGCAGCACCTGCTGGCAGAACTCCTTGACAGTCCGCCCCCCCTCGATGAAGTGCTCGAAGAACTTGCTCTCGCGCTGCAGGAAGCCGGAGGTGAGCAGCCGCAGGTAGACCACCAGGTAGTCCGAGGTGCTCTGGTCATTGAAGGACGCCAGCAGGTCGGCCACAGAAATCTGCTTTTCCACCTGCTCGATCAGGTCCATGAACTGCCACCGAGGGGAACAGAGGGCACAATGAGGGTGGCACCCAGCCCAGCATGCCCATCCCACCCCCAACTGGCCTGTGAAGTGTCCCCTCAGGGGACATCAGGTGCTCACCGTGTTGTGGAAATCCTCAATTGTGAACTCGGTGAAGCCCTGGGACACCAGCTGCTCTTTGCTCTTGGCCGACACGACCTTGAACCTGTGGGGGAGGGCGGCGGAGGAGCATGGGCTGCCTGGACAAGCACAAGGGGGCCAGAGATCCAGCCAGGGGCAAGGGGACAGCTAGCGCCATCCAGCCTCCGGCCAGGCCAGGCCCCAGCCCAACTCAGAGTGGACAGATGCCCCAAGTAGGAACCCAGCCCAGCTGCTGTCTGGCTGCAGGTGGAGGGGACAGACTGTCCCTCCTGCCCATGGCGAGGGAGGCTGGGTGCCTTTCGGGAGCCGTCCCCCACCTCCTCACCCACCTCCTCCGGCGTCCGGGTGCCCACCCGCCTCACCGCTGCAACTCCTTGCTGTCATCCAGCAGCGCCTCCAGGTGGGAGAATCCAAACGCCCGGTAGAAGCAGTTCCCGTCGGGCCGGGTCTTCCGTATGTATGAGTACTTTTTGTGGAGGTCCTGCGGGGAGGCAACCCCGCCCCAGCCCATCAGCCAGAACCCAGCCCAGGAGAGTGCCCAGGCGGGTGGAGCAATGCATGCCACTGAGCCCCCTGCCCCAACCTCTGAAAGGCCGGACCCCCACCAAGCCAGCCAGTCCTTTCTGGAGATGGACTTAGGGCCAGGGGCCAGAGCTGGCACGGGACCCTTCCTGAGCAGCATGCCACCACTCAAGAACGACACCGTCCTGCTTCAGAGCAAGATGAGTACAGTAGGCATCGCCCTGAAGTCAACCACTCCTCTCTGACCCTCCTGCCGCCGCCCCACCCTTGGACCTGCTCCCCACACAGGTAGTCCAGAGGGGGATGTCACCTCGGACTTCTCCCTTCCTGGCAGGACCTCCCACACGTAGGCCCAAATGCCCCCCCCCCCCCCCGCTCAGCCAGCTGGTCCCCACTCCTGCCACCTCCACTCTGCCCCTCACTCAGATGTGACCCTCAAGAGGTGGGTCCTGGGGACCAGCCTACCAAAAGGGAAATTCCCTCCGCCCCCTGGACACACACTATCAGTTCGCCCCGCTCCCCCTCCCCCCTGGCCACACACTATCAATCCACGAGGTGAGTCTTCCCCAGAGCAGCACCGGCTTCCAGAGCACAGGCTTCTCCTGGTCCAGAACCCACAAGCCGGCGGCAGGGGCTTAAGTCAACAGTACAAACCAAGAGTCCAAACCACAGTGGCTACTATGTTGCATGGGAATGAAACTTGCCTGCTCCTGTCTGATTCCCTGCACTCTGGTTGGCCAATGGAGTGCCTGGGACAACATCTGAGGGCAGCTAACTACAAAGTTGCAGGAGGAGCTGTGTCTTGGTTACCCAGTGCTGCTACAATGCAGACCTCAAGCAGACTGCTCCAACAGAAAGCATGGCCTAGCCCAGTGGACATTTCGGGGGTGGGGTGGGTGAGCACAATTCAATCCCTGACAGTCTGCCCATTGCACCCCCCTCCAAGTTCAAGTCCTTGTCGCGTGTAGAAACTCCTTCATGCCTCATACCATCCCGAAAGTCTTAAATGATGCCCAGTCTGTAATCTCCTGCTCCAGTTGGACCTGCAGCCACCTGCATCCTTACGCAACACGCACGGAGTCCCACACGTGCAGCGATGGTGGCCATCACCATGCGCTCACCCGGTCAGACGCTTCTCTTCATCCAGGGGAGAGCAGCCAGACGGGCTCAGGCGCACCCACGCGACCCTGAGCTTGTGACAAGGCAGCCCCTTCTCTCTCACCCCAGGCTCCACCGCCTGGTCACTGGGCACCAATTGTAGGCTCAGAAGTCCACATGGCTCCCTGCACCTCCAACCAGCCAGGCCTTTCTCGCTCATCCACAGGCCAAGGGAACATGTCCACAGCAAGCCCACCTCTTCACCGCTGCACCTCCCCCACTCCCACCCCAGGGCGGACCCTGACGGCCACCACCAGCATGCCCAGCAATCTCTTGAGCTTCCTGTCAGGAAGGGTTCTTGGGCCTCACGTGGGGAGAGAACGCTTTGAAAATGACGGTGGCACATGTGCAAATGCGCTGGACACAATGGATGAGCGTATGGATTATGCTGAGATGTAAGAGCCCCCAATTAATAGGAAAAAAGGGGGTTTCTTCTGATGGGTGCCCTCAATTCATCCTGAGGAAAACCTCGTTTGAAATGGAAAAGCCCGAATTCCTCATCTGTGAAATCTATAACACAGGTTATGTTTTCCAAAGGGCAATGGTGGCCTCAGCGGACACTGGCAACAAACATTTCCATTACACCTGGGAGACACTGCAAAGGACGATGGGCATCAAGTGAGACCAAAAACCAACATGCAATGGAGCCCTTCGAGGCATGGCCACGCCCTCCAGGTTCCCAGACCCACTGGGCGGAGGCCCTCTGCCCCCCAGCTGTGGGTGATCCCATTCTCAATGTGCCCAGCCGCAATCCCACCCGCTGGGCCCCCATCCGTAGGCTGCTCTTCTGCCCCTCTTGGGCCTGGCAGTCCCACCCATGGCTCTGTTATAACAAAGCTCCTTAGGTCTGCCAGAAAGTGCTCGGAGGGCAGCCCACTCAGCTACCGGCTGGGCCAAAAGACCTGCTGAGGGCCAGCTCGCTCACGCTGGTTCTGCACCGTGTCCTGCCATCTGCACCACTTCCAGTGTCAAAGCTCCACTTCCTTCTGAAGCCTGGCCAAAATTGCCTGTGGCAGCTGTGATGCCTCCAGCAGGCCCTTCAAGGTTACTAGGCTTTTAGGAGGTGGTTCCTTAAAGGTCTTCCAGCCTCTACCCATCACCCCTTTCCCAAACGGGCTCCCCGTTTCAGGTGTCTGTCGGAGCAGCACCGACTCCTGCACCACCAGCTAGTTACTGAGTGTGCTCGGGCAGAAAGGCTTTCCCGTGGATGGCTCTCACAAACAAATCAGCCCTCTCGTTTCAGCAGCCGGAAACTGGCTCTGGGAGCAGGTTTCGTCTCTCGGTTGGCCTTTCACTGTTCGTGCTCCTTGGCACCGATTTCCTTTGGAATCTAGGCGGCTCTCAGCGCAGGACACCCGGATCCGAAGGAAGCGCTCTGCTCCCGGCTCCTTTCTTGGTGGCAATTGGTCCTTCTCTTTTAGCTCTTCTCAGAGAAAAGGTGTGACTCAAGGCAGGCCGTGGCTTCGGCTTCGCTTCGGCATGGCCCTAAAGAGGTGTGACTGATTGAAGGCTGCACTTCAAAAAGGTGTGACGCAAGGTGCTGCCACCTGGTTGGATGTGCAACACAGGATGAGCTCACCAGGGCACAAGTGCCAAGCCACTGAGCATCAGGACCTAATCAAGTAGACACATTCTTCTGGGACACCATTTAACTGATGACAGCCTGGACATCTAGTCCCTGAAAAAAGCCTCTGAAACCCCATGGGGCACAGCTCGATGGCGACAGAGGCAGGGGGCACCTTGAGTTATCAACTCCATGGCAACCAGGTGCTCCAATGAAGGTTTACACTGGCGAACTTTCTTCCTAGTGTGTTTGGGCACTGCCCCAACCTGTCCACCATGGAGAAACTCTCTGGTATTTGAAATTATGACCAGTGACAGAGCTACCAGCATCACAGGCAACACGGAAGCCACCACAGTAGGACAAAGTGACAGGTGAGTGGTAGGCTGCTACTGAAATCATCCTGAGCCTGTGCTGTGCCAAGCACTCTGTTGAGGGCTGCCCTTTGCCCTGTAATCTTCGGGGCG